TAAAAAATAAAATAAAATCGAAATCGAAAATGAAATTTAAAAATATAAAAAAATATATATTCCTGTATTTCTGGTGAGGGATTATTCGTCCTGTTTTTCTTTCTTTATTTTTCTTATACAATTTTGTATTTATTTGTGTTCACACGCTTTATCATTTGAAGGTGTCGTTTTGGGCCTCGAGGAATCGTGAGGCCTGCTCGTTACCTGGTTGGACCACTACAAACGAGAGCCTTATATCCGAAGTCCAAGCCTGCTTTGATCCGGCTGATCGAGCGATACGGCTGCAATTCTCGACACAACTAAACGGATTAACCGTCCTACCCAAAGTTAATGCCCAAATTAGGACGGATAAATGGTTCGGTTATGGTTTAACCAAATAAACTAGTCGGTTAGCCGACACCAATAATGGGTCGAAATAGCCAATCGCAATTGCCATAGGTTGAACTATCAGTTAAGCGCAATCCCTAACACTTACGTTTTATTTCACACTTATGGTTCATTTATCATCCCTTAATTCAATATACAGACATTTTATTTACGAATATAAATGATACTTTAATCATTAACCATTAAATCGTTAACCGTTAATCAATCTTCGTCACTCGTCAGCATTCAATCCGATAATGAAAGCAATTTATGTTTGACAGCTCAATTTTATGATAAAAAGGCGAGGAGCCCGACACATGACTTGGGGGAGCGATCCTTGAAGAGATTCATCGATTTTTCAGAGAACTTTGAATTTTGCTTTTGTTCCTTTGCTCCGTGTAGAGTTAATAGGACTACTGTCTATCTTGTCGCTAAACAAGCTCTTTTATCAAAAGTTTCGACTATTGGTCAATTTTCGCACGTGGTTGTTTTCTGTCCTCGGACTATTTGATCGAACTATATATTCCTGTTAAAAAAAAGGACAAGAAATCGACAAATCGTAAAACGAACCAAAGACAAGTAAAGTCGAATGGACCAAACCATCTCAAGCCAAGACTCCCCATCCTGCGCCCAGGCCCAACTAGAGACAAGCCCAACCCATTGTGGCAACACCACTTTCCACCCGATGACCGGGCCGCAATCCGCCACCGAGCACCGGCTGCTGTCGGGCTCTCTTGTTTTTTCACCTGACCCGCCGTCCCCAATAACTCCTCTGCATTTATACGCAGAAAACTTTGCCTTACCGACAATGCCTGCCGGGTACTCAACAACCGCACTGCCGCTCACTTCGCTTCATCCCGACCGTTGAACTCCCCGCACTCGGGCTTCGATCTCGTCCGTCCAATCCAGCAGCCACAAAAACTAATTACCCCAAGTAAGTAACTGACACAATTCCCCTGGCTTTGGTGTCAACTTGTTCGTTGTCTTTCTTTTTATTTCCTATTTTCGTTTTTATTTTTCAATTTCAAACTGATTTGACAGTCGCACTGCTCTCTCTACTAGTACTACTACCACTCGCACGCGCTTCCCGCGACGGAGTGGTGTGGGAGTTGCCGGTAATGTGGAGCACGCGCCGCCGCATGTGTGTGGGGAACGAACGAAGTAGTGGAGGACGGGGCAGGGAAGTAGAGTGGGGACGTGGCAGTTGGTGATTGGTCGTTTGGCTTGGGGAAAAGTCTTGCCCAACTTATTGGTTTTTGTTTTGTGCCTGTGAACCGTCACCGACCGTCACTGTAGGAAGCGTGTTTGCTGTTTGGGTCGAATTAGGCAAAATGCGAGTTACTGTGTACTATTTGCGGGATCCCCACGATTAAATTTAAAGCCTTCTCCACATTGCGGTTTAGTGAACGATACTGTACATAAGCTACATTACTACGTCTAAGTCCGGCGGTGTCACGATACGATAGTAGCGTGATCTTGAACCTCCGTAATTTTCTAAAAATATTGTCGAATGTATGCATTTTGAATAATTTAGTGTTGTTATTTTTATATTAGTACGAGAAAGTGTCTCGTGGGGAAAAAAAAACCAGTTGTGATTTAACTTAACCAGTGTTCAAGTCCAATTGCCTCGGATTCACGCAGTACATGCCCGAGGAACTTTTTAAATTAGAATTAAAACACGAGACGACAAATCAGTGCGATGGATTAAGAAAAAAATGTTGGACGCATAGAACATAATTTTGTATTAGATGACAATAATGTTGCATAACTTGCATCAGCAGATACATTAACCTTTGAAGAATCTCTAAATTGTCACCTAAACCCTATAAACAATATTGAATATTGAGAATCGCGTTTTCAAAAAGGTTGGTGGAGTTGGTTCAATATTTGAATGAAATAATTAATTGTGTATGTAGCTATAGGTTAATGGAATCGGTCATTGATGTGTTAGTTGTTGTTATTGTTTATTTGATGAATTTAACATGAAATGTAAATAAAATAGCTTGGTCTATACGAGCATGTTTACATTGTTTGTTTTCTAAGATTGTTGTGGTTATATTGCCGCAGTAGTTGTATTCTTTAAAATATATTATTTTGATTTTATCACATGTTTCACTTTATCTCATCAACAACTCTAAACTAGTAAGGGGAGACATAAGTACTACTTATGACCTTCATCGTACTATCTTTGATCCACTCAATGTTATTTCTTGTATTTATGTCATTTTAACTTACTTTATCATCTTTTAACTTTGATTAACTTACAACCATATGCATTTATCGATCATCAAAAATAGTCCCACTCCATCAATAACGTCATTCTTTCTCTGTATTCATTTAGAAAAAATGTATTTTTTCTTTGATTTCGCTTTAGATAAATTGACTTGTAGCCATTGGCGGAGCTAGGTGAGGGGATGTGGGGTACATGGACCCCACTTGGAAAATGAATATACATTAAATATGGTGGATTTTTAAGGTGTGATAAGTAAATTTAGAACCACGGACCCCCTCTTCCCAGGACAATGATTTTACTATTGAGACAAACATTGTATGTAGTTTTGTTTGGACCCCACTAAATTACATCTCTCGCTACGCCAATGCTTGTAGCGTTTTGTCTTCTATGATGCATGTATCCGAATCAGAATTCAATTTATATCCCATACAAATATTTACCCAAATTTAATATGTACTCATAGGAAACAAATTTACGTGTTGCTTTTTTTATCAAATCTGTATGTTTTATTAAATTGATAAATAATGCTTACAGTCAACCATCAACTGAGAGATCAGAAAAAGAGTCATTACGAGCTCTGTTTCGACTAATATAACTTTTCCAAATCATATAATTTTCATAACACAATAATTTCCCAACAAATATTTTGATTCTTTACAAGTTTAGGATGGATTCTTATTTCTTAAGACACGATTGAGGGCGAAGGAATGGATACATACAGTACTTATCACGGTGGAATCAAAAGAATGATTACCGTCCATTGGTCATTCATATTTCATAGGACTTTTCTTTTTTACAAGCAAAAAAGGCCATCACTTCCTTTCTTTTCCCTCCCTTTCCGTTTCTTTTATTTTCCTTTCTCCTCCATGACCATGGAATATAAAAGTCAAAGCATAAACAAACCAATTTTGGGCCTTCTTTATTCTCTTTCCACGAAAGTAAAGAAAAGGGGAGTGAGTTTCATTAATTAATTAATTAATAGCATCGTCAACATATATATACAATAGTACATCAGTAGACCCACGTGTATTCTCCACATATTTTGTGAGATATATTATGGTATTTTACGTACATTGAAACACGAATATGATAATTAGTGAAACCAGACAATTATCATTTCAATAAATAGACATTTCGATTAATCGATGGTTTCCTTCATGACTCGTGCGACATATGCAACAAAGAAGCCCCCAACAACACATTATCATTCGTTGCAGTGTCCCGAATTATTGATAAAGTAATCAAATCAGATTCGCTAATAAATGTAAACCCTATATTGCGAAACGACAAACTCTGCCCCATCTAAACGAGTAAAGACCTTAGGTGCTTAAGAAAGGGAGTTAAAGAATCAAAGGATATATGGTGCCGCACTTCTCATGATCTCAACCACAACCATGTAATTCAAATCATGAATAGGGTCTCTTCACAAGATATCAATTTAGATTATTCATATCAATGTCATGGGCATGCTTTGATGTTGTGAATCCACACAACAAATTGTTTCGTAAAAGTGAAAATCAAAATGCAAGTGATCACATCTCTATAGTGCATTTCCAGCTGCTTTGTGTCCTATATATGTTAGATAGACCACATTATTTGAATGCATTAAAAATTACAAGTACAATTTTAAATGCTCTCAAACACATAATATAATATAATGCCAACAGAAAATATATGCTTTTGAAAAGAAGAAAAAAACTCAATCTCTCATATACACAATCTCTTAGGTGTGAATGGTGATTTAGACAACAACGTATCTAACCTATTGATTTGTTGCTTGTTTTTGGTATGAAAATCATGTTGATCGACCACTATATAACGTTACAACACATAACATTCTGCATTAAAATGTTATACAAATAAACGAATTGATCGAAATCCTTACAAACCAGACATTGTAATTTTAATACATAAAATTCTCAGTTTCTTACCATCCAACTTACAATTCTACAGCACACATACTTGCCAAATGCCAAACCTTTCCCAATACAAAAACAACCATCTCGATCATTGGTGCGAAAATAGGGTATTTAACCGGCGGGCTGTAAGCAATTGGCTTATGCTTCATTTATGACTAACAACAACAAAAAAATAAACTGTGCTAAATTAATTAAAGCAATTTAATCAATTAAATTAAACCATAAAGAAAGGGGATGGCTGAACTAACGGGGGGAATTAACTTAATCAAACAAAATTTAAAAACTATAATTACTCAATTAAGCCATGTCGACCATTTTCCACTTTCGTGCCCTTTTGGCGCGTAACCGAACCAACCAACCCAGACGCGCGCGCACTCTCTCTCACACACCCACACTGCTCATTTGGCGAAAAAACAAAAACGAAAAATAAAAAAGAAAAGAGAGCAAAGGGGAAAAAGAAAGATCAAAACCATCGCTTTGGCTTTGAAAACTGACACACTGAGAGAGAGAAGGAGAGAGAGAGAGAGAAAGTAGCGAGAGAAACACTGAGAGAGAGAGGGAAGAAAAGCCAAAACACCAAAATCCCAACAACAAACAGTGCTTCCTCTCATCTCGCGTTTGCGTTCTCAGTGTGAAGAAGAGAAAATCAGTGAAGACAAGGATAGAGAGAGAGAGAGAAAGGGAGGAAGAGAAGGAGATGGTGTGTTTCTAGTTTTTTTACTGTGTTGAAGCTTTCTCTCTCTGCTTTCTCTGTCTGGGAGTGGAAGGGGGAGAAGGGAGGAAGAAGGAGAAGAGAGCCATTTGATCGGGGATTGTCGGGTCGCGGGTTCGACAGCCGTACAATCCATCTATGCACCGCGGGGCTCCGCGAATTCCGGGGAGGGGCAACTTTTCGACGAGCATGGAGCAGCGGTACGGACGCGGCCAGGAAGGGGCGCAGTCGGATCCGTCGCCGGAGTGGTCGGCGCCGGGGCCGGAAACCGGGCTTGAAGGTTCGTTTCCGTTCGGACCAACCCGCATTTCCCTGTCTTCGCTGCTGGATTTCGTGCGGGAAGAGGGAATGTTGGTTTTGTTTTTTTTTTCTTTTCCGTTTACCCCTTTTGATTTTCTGATTTTTTCCCCTTCTTTTTTTGTGTGTGTGTTTCCCCCCCCTTCTTTCTGGGCAATGCAGAGGGACTGTGGCAGTTGGGATTGGGTGGAGAAGGCGAAGCCGGGTACCCGGAAAGACCCGACGAGGCCGATTGTATCTACTACTTGAGGACAGGGTTTTGCGGGTACGGAGCGAGGTGTCGGTTCAACCATCCCCGTGACCGAGCTGCGGTAAGCTTCTCTTCTCTGCTTGATTCTGGTTTGGTAATGGCTGCCGGGGACGCGATCAGTTTCTTTCCAGTCGAATCAGCTGCGATCTCGATTGGGATTGGGCGATGATGGTGTTTGGTTTTGCTCCAATTTTGTTTGGTTGTGGAGTCGGTGCCGACTGCCAAGTGTTCGATCATTTGCCTAGCTGAAGCTGAGTTACTACGGAAAGTGATCTCTTCTTGTAGCTGACATATTGTGTGTGAATTGATTAGGTGCTGGGAGCTGCTAGGGCTGGAGGAGGGGAGTTCCCTGAGCGAGTGGGCCAGCCTGTGTGTCAGGTAAACCCATTTTGGCTCTTCTTCATAACGTGGATGGTTGATAATGGACAATGCACTAAGTTGTTAAAGTTCTTCAACAGTTTTAGGAATGAACCGAGGAGGATATTTGGAGCTTTCATGGTTCATATCTGTCTGCCTGTTTCCAGTTTGATGTGTTACTGAAATGGTTAAGTTCTAATTGTCATCAAATTTTGCAGTATTATATGAGGACTGGAAGTTGTAAATTTGGCGCTTCTTGCAAATACCACCACCCAAAGCAGGCAATTGGTTCAGTTGCTCCTGTGCCTCTGAATTATTATGGTTACCCTCTGCGTCCGGTTTGTACATCCTTTTACCTTGATGCTTAATCTGTTGCATTTTTTTCCTTTAATCTCGTGGACGAGTTACAGATTCGATGTCTTGTTTCTTGACCGCGTGAGTGTTGATTGATTTCGCAACAGGGTGAGAAAGAATGTACATACTATATAAAGACAGGGCAGTGCAAGTTTGGTGCTACATGTAAATTTCATCACCCACAGCCAGCCAATGTACAAGTTCAACAGCAGTCATTGCCATCACAAGTAGCGCCTATGGCTACTCCATTAGCTGCTCCTGCAATGTATCCACCCATGCAGTCTCCATCAGTTCCCTCATCCCAACAATATGGGGTATTAGTTGCAAGGCCTCCTTTGTTGCAAAATACATATGCGCAAGGCCCCTATGGTCCCATGCTCCTGTCTCCAGGCGTGGTTTCCTACCCAAGCTGGAGCCCTTACCCGGTAAGTGGATTTTCTCTTGTTGCCACAAGTTTTTTAATTGTGGTTTCACTATCATTCAATTGAGTTGTGATATCTCATTGTGCAGGGGCCTGTAAGTCCAGTAGCATCTCCTGGTACCCAGTCTGCACTTGGCTCAAGTTCTGTATATGGTATAACTCAACTGTCGCCATCGGCACCTGCCTATACTGGGGCTTATTCACCTCTGCCTTCTTCAACTGGGCCTTCAAGTAGTAGCCAAAAGGAGCACTCTTTTCCTGAGAGGCCTGGTCAACCAGAGTGTCAATACTACATGAAAAATGGCGATTGTAAGTTTGGATCGTCATGTAGATACCATCATCCGCCAGAATTCAGTGCACCAAAACCGAATGTAGCTCTTAGTCCCTTGGGTCTCCCCTTGCGTCCAGTAAGCACTTCTGCAAACTACTTTGTCTTGTGAGACTTGGATCGTGATAAGCTGTTTGTTATCACTGTAGTGTCTGCCTATCTCTTAATATAGACTTATGTTCAACTTGGTTCTTTTTCTTCCAGTTGTGTACGCCTGACGATTACGTTCTATATGTCTCTTAAAAGTATGTGAAGCTGTTAAAGTTGCTTTCGATATGTGGCTGCTTTTGTACTATCCAAGTCTTGCTTCATTTCTCTGGAATCTTTCTTCCTCAAATGTTATTATTTCTTCAGCAGTCGTATTGCACCTTAAACTGCTTTTTGGTGAATGCTATGCCTTCCATTTTTCACACGTGGCTGTTATTTCCATTTAGTTTGGAATGGGTCACACATCATATTCTGGTTCTCTTATCATGTTGGTTAAATACCGGTAGTAGACCCCTTTTCTCTTAGCTCTAGTATGCACGAGCTAAAGTATCAACCTATTCTTGTGATCAACATTTTTGAAGCTTGTTATCCTTTTGAGACAAGATTTCTTACTATCTGTCTTGCCACTGGTGCATATGATATATTTTGGGATTTGCCATGGGTATGTCTTAACACTCGGTAGGGAGATTGCACACATATAACGAAAAGAGTATACAGTGAGTGTGCATAATGCTGTATACATTGGCTGCGTATGGTCATAGACGTATGGGGGGGTAGTAAACTATCTACTGCTACTCTGCTTACCCAATATCCTGCATATGCATGCTTTACTTGCACTTAGGAATTTTTATTTGGGATAATGCTGCAATGGATTTGATGTTTGATTAGATGGGTAGATGAGTTATTGGGATTGAATGGAAGAGGTTTTTTAAGATAACTCGGACAAGTTGTTCTGGGAAGCTGGGTACTTCCTGTGATTTTCTCTTTGTGGATTAACTTTAAGTGACTCCGGAGGTCTCAAAGAAGTTAAATTGTTTGATGTTGTCTCTTCTATGAAGATTTTCTTGTTTAGGTATTTTAAATGTGCCACAAGCAACCTTATGTTATCAAGAATCTGATCTTTGATGGAATATTTATTGGATCAAAATATTATTATTTTTTGAATATGACTTTCTCTATTGGCTTTGATATCTACGTTTTCCTACCCAGCCGTCCAAATCTATGTTCTTCCCAACAAGGATCCAAATTGGATACCTTGTGTATTCCGAACCTCTGTGCCAGCGTTTTGGTGCATTCCTGTCCTTTCTGAACGTCATGTTATGAGCTTATTTTCTAATGGGATCTTGGCTAGTAATAGTTACTAGACATGATTATGTTATTCCTTTTAATAATGATGCTGGCCTCTATGTTGAATGGTACGGCAGGAATTTCCCATCTCCAGAATGCATTGAGCGTGAAACTTCTCTCACATTTTGTTGTCACTTTGCTGTGCTTTTGACATTGTTTTTTCGGTCTGTTGATCATAACTATGAAATCTCCTTCTGCCCTGCCTCCGCTTGCTTTTGACTTCAAGCCAATTAATGTGTTCCTTTTTTCTTAATCAGGGGGCCCCTCTTTGCACTCACTACACGCAGCGCGGGCAATGCAAGTTCGGTCCAGCATGCAAATTCGATCATCCAATGGGAATAAGTTACAGCCCATCTGCGTCATCCTTGGCCGATATCCCCGTTGCACCATACCCCGTGGGCTCTTCAATCGCCACCCTTGCTCCATCTTCCTCATCATCGGAGCTACGCCCTGAACTGACAGGAGGATCTAGCAAGGACTCCTCCAGTTCCACGAGAATGGCATCATCATCGGTAAACACCTACAGTGGGTTCGTAGGCTCAACTTATTCAAGTGCTCAGCAACCTTCTTCTGGTTCTTTAACTGGCAGCGGCAGCAGTGGCAGTAGCAGCAGCAGCAGCAGCAGTGCTCGTGCCTCTAGCTAATCGTAAGGTTATTGCAACTTTCCTGTTCATTCTACCTCAGATCAAAATTCATGAAAGCCACGATCTTTTCTTTTTTTCTTTCGGTCCAAGCTAGCCGTCAACTAGGAAGCAAAAAGGTTCTCGTAATTTTCTAGTCCTTGATATGGCCATCTACCCTTTCCCCCCCTCATCTTTTGAATAAACTATGGCCAAAGTTTAGTGAACTTCCCAATATATGAGCCTTGCTCCCCCCACCCTCCTTTTTTGTTTGAATAACCATGAGAGGTTACTTGCAGTTCTCTTGTCCCTCTCTCTCATTAGCAGAAAGTCTATGTCCCAAGGAAAGTTGGGAGGGGAGGGTTGGTGTGGAGAATAGTAGCATATTCTATGTTCTCTTCTTTGTTTCCAAAGATGAATGAAGAATGAGAAACATCACAAGATTCTTCCTTTCGCTTCACAGCCTAATGGCTTCCAATTTGTCCAGTGAAAGAAAAAGAAGGAATTGGAAGGGGTTTTCTTGTTCAACCCCCCAGTTTTTTGTTGCAGGGGTTTTAGTGTGAAGTGAAAAAAAAAAAAACCAGAAAAAAGACTTGTGGAAAAAAAGATGGGAGGCAGAATCTCAATGCTCTCTTTAGTCTTTACCTTTTCTTTTCAACCCCCCATCTTTCTTCCAATGTGATTAGATGCATAGTTGTTCTTATATGTATTGTTCCCCACAATGAAGACCTCTCTTTGTTCCTCCTATCTTTCTGTGACATTGTTATTGGTGAATCCTGTTTATGCATAGTTTACAATGTATACCAAGAATCCCTACCTTCTTTTGATTGTAATAATGAGATGAATTCCTCCCTCTCTCTCTCTCTATCTCTCTCCCCCATTTCCTTCATTTCTCATTGAAAAGTGGTTGCATTTCTTCTGGCTGAAAGTTACGTACCTTTATAGATAAACCATCTTCTCTTGTCCAGTTGCCACCTCGTGTGCCTCTTACTGTTAAAGGTGCAACAGAAACAGGGAATCAACGCATGCTTCGTTGGTTGAGTAGTCGTGTCTTCATAATCAATGTTACGGGTTCAATTCAATTCTAAAATTTCACAGTGACTGATAAGTTTCTCTGAGATTTTTCTGCGATCGCGAGATCTTGTTACTACGGAGTTGATCCGGTAGCAATTGATGAACAGATAATTAAGTTAGCTAGTAGTGAAGTAAACAACAAAAGTGTCACTTTTGAGAGGAAGGACGTGTGCAAAATCTGTGTGACCCCATTGTTGTATATAATTATCAATTTATCATACATGCCCTGGCTTTGTTTGTTTTTTGGTATTGTACGGTACACTCCTTCCCTTTCACCCCACACGAAAGAAATAAAAGATTGCACTTCAAAAGGAAGGATGGTGAGTGGTGACAGCTGCCTGCCTATACGATTTCATTCAAAGCAAACAACAATGTGCCAGAGCAGGAATTAAAAGCAAATTGGTTCGACATTTAATGATATATATAATTAAAGGCCTAAATTAGAAATTGATTTCTTTAGCGACCAAACTCTTGGGTTAAAAAATCTTTTTCTTAGCGACACTGCTTAGGAAATCATGGGTCGTGCCGTGTGGTCATGGCGTCGCATGGCCTACGTCATCCCCGCCATTTTTCTATTGTGATTTGTGAGTGAGGTGGGGTTGGGTTTCCCATTGTCCACAAAAAGCAAAGGCAATTGGCCGAAAGACCGAATACCGCTTAATGGAGAGACTACTAAAATTTACACACTATTGAGTATTGACTATATCATATACCTTACTACTCGACATTATTATTCTTTGCTTCTTCTTGAATACTTGCATGTTAGTTAATTAATCCTGCGAAATTGTTATAAATCGCATATTTGAATTTACCAATCTCGTCGATTTTTCCGAAACACAAATTTTGATTTTTATATATAAGAGAAAAGCAAAAAATTATACCGATCCTGTGAATTGTATAAGTAAACAATACAGTTACGTTGAAGTGGTAATCATAATCTATAGTTAGAATGAGTGACGAACTATTTTTCCATTACAATATGGGTGAAGTTCTGAATGCTTATATATAGAATGATTAAGGTCAAATGAGAAAGACATTATATTATTCTAGAGCTTCTAATGGTTGTTTGAAACAATTCATGCAATCTAAGAAAAATATACGAGACAATGTATCTAGTTCCTTTCAAGTAGTTCTTGACGAACCCGCATATTCGAGCTTATAAAAAAGAAATTTCACAAACTTTCATCGTAAATTCTTGTAACAAAATACTATCATGATCGTCGACTTAATCATTCTTTCACGATAATTAACTCCAAAACACGCGCGCAAAATGTCTCATTCCCTCTCTCGTTCTACTTATAAAAAGAACTACATAAATCATATGGCAGCGGGATTTTAACTAGAAAGCAAGACCCGAGAAGACCGGGATGAAGAACCCTAGCATTAGCATGCACGTGAATTAAAAATATATATATATTAGGCTAGTACGACTCATAACTCAACTGGAACACACGAATACTAGCTAATAATAACTAGAACAACGAGTAGCCGAAATCCACCGACTCGCCGCCGTAACTCGTCCCCGAACCATACGACTGACCCGCCGCCGCCAGCCCGCCGTAACCCGCCGCCCCACTGCCGTCATTATTCCGCTCGTAACGATGATCACCAGGGCTCGAGTACAGAGGATTCATCATGTTCCCGCCCTCCATGCATGCGTCATCCACCCTCATCGTCCGGCAGCTGTTGATCACCGCCGACAGGTCCCCGGAATCGTACCCGTCCCACGACGGCGACCACGACTCCTCCCCGCCGAAAGCCAGCCCCGAATTCGCCGCGTTACCAAACGACGGCGTTTTGGGCTGCCCGTTGTTGCTGCTGGAAGAGGAGGATCCCGTAACAACAAAGTTGAGTTGGGGGAAAATGAAACCCTAGAAGTCTTGGTTGTTTCTCATTCATATTTGGGTTTAAATAGGCAAAAGCTTTGCACTACAAGACAATATGTGCAAGCTAGCATTTGAAGACAAAGATAAAACATAACTCAAACTAAAGTCTAAACAAACATTGACATTAAACTAATTAGATGATGATGATGTTTTACTCTAAACCTGTCGATCCACTTTGACATTCATGGTCGCCGGTTTGAGTTTTGACGATAACTTGAAATATCTCCTGATACCTCCCCGCAAGCGGGTGAGCACAGAATGTGCACACCACGCTTGGAGAGAATACAATCTGAACTTGAGAATGTTGCTGCACTGTTGGCTAGCTAACTTCTCTTGAAACTTCAAATGGTGAAGCTGCTGCATCTTGCTAGCTAACTTCCCAAACATCTTCTGAAAAGCTGCTGCATCTGTGGCTAGCTAGCTATGAAAACTTCTTCTTCTTCAACTGGTGATACCACTGCATCTTTGGCTAGTTGGCATCCCATCTTGATCTTCTTCTTCTTCTCTTCACCTTCTCTTCTTCTTCTTCAACTTCTCAACCCCCAACTCAGCTTTGTAGCTTGAGTTTCTCCAATTGAACTCGGATAAGCCGCTGCATTTGTAGCTAGCTAGCTTTCCGGTATTCTTCTTCAACTCCTCAACCCCCAACTCAGCTTTGTAGCTTGAGTTTCTCCAAATAAACTCGGATAAGCCGCTGCATCTTTGGCTAGCTAACTTTCCACTCTTCTTCTTCAACTACTCAACCCCCAACTTCAGCTTTTGTAGCTTCAGTTTCTCCAAACAAAGATGGGATATGCTGCTGCCTTTTCTTTTGCTAGCTAGCACTCCGATGATCTTCAAATGAAATTGCCGCTGGCTGAACTTCACATCTTCAGCTTTTTGTTGCTTGAGATGGATCTTCAAAGTGGTCCGGATATGTTGCTGCTGATTTTGCTAGCTAACATTCCATCCGAAATATGGGCCGGATATGCTGCTGCTGATTTGCTAGCTAGCATTCCATCCGAAATATGGGCCGGATATGCTGCTGCTGATTTGCTAGCTAGCATTCCATCCGAAAAAGAACTAAAATCAACAAGGGAGTGCATTGTTGGCTACTTCCCTCTACTTTGACTTGATGATGATATGCTGCTGCTGATTTTGAGCTAGCTAGCATTCCAAAGAGAATTACTTCAAACTCAACAGGGGAGCCCTTTTTAGGCGTCTTCCCTCTGCTGCAAATGTGGCTGCTGCCACTCTCTTCTCTTTGGTGAAAGAAGAACATCATTTGTTTTTTTTTTTTTTTTTTGTTGCTGCTGAAACTTGCAGCTTCTTCTTTGTTCTCCTGCTTGCTGAGAATCAGCAAGAGACTTGACACTCTTGTCTCTTGGACATTTCCTCCAACCACCCAATATGGACAATCTGATCAATCTTCTCAACTTCAATCACATTCTCAAACAAAATATGCTCAAACACAGCTTGAAAATCTTCCATTTGGCACACAGTAATGGACGAATGCAGTTCAGTCTCTTGTTCAAGACCCACAATATTGTTCTCTGTAGTTTCAGTTTCAAGAAACTCACCTTCCTCTTCTGGGTATTTTCTTTTGACTGTGAAATACCTTTCATTGTGCTCTGTACGCATCCTCTGCCTCAAACTCTCGGAACCCACTGCTTGCTTGGTGAAATGACTCACTTTAGGGGAGAGAACAGCGACGCCTGACTTCCTCCCGGTGAACTTAGTGACAGGCTTTAGCTGAAAGATGGAAACCAACAGAGAAGATCGACTAGAACAAGATTCCAGTTTTGAGTCGTCGGATCTGCTTTTCTCTTCTTCTTCGTCCGACTTGGCCAGCGGGGATGGATTCTCCTCCGTTGGGCTTGTCTTGGTCATGGCGACGACGATTGATGAAGCTGAGAGCTGGTGGCGGGCCTTGCCGTGACGATTCAGAACGGCGGCTGGAGTTCGCTGCAACGGATCTGTCTTGAGCGAAACTCGTGGTCGCCGGTTTTTAGATTTGGGGGCTTTTGGTTTTAGGGATTTGGGTTTCCAATCTGGAAAAGTTGGAGAAGAGATGGATCTTGAGATGGTGAGGGTTTTGGGAAGGGAATGGCTTTCGGTTTTGGTTTTGGGGAAGATGGGAAAAGTAGATTTGAGAGTGAGTAAAAGAATGGGTTTGGAAGTTGATTAGGAGGGATATGATGAACAGAGGGATGTGAGACAAATGGGGAAGGGACGAATGGATTTGGTGATGACTGTGGCGGCGGAATGGCCTGCTGGGTTAGTGGGTAAAGCCGTAAACGCTGTGTTTGGAAGATGGGAGATGGTTTTGTGGCGGAAGTGGGGATTTGGGGCTTTTGGTAGGAAACAGATGCAATGGAGATGGATTGAATGTAGGGTTTGGAATGAGGTTTGGGGAAGAGATGTAACGGAGGAGGAGAAGAAATATTTTTGATTTTTAGGGTTTATGATCTGGAATTTTCAGATCTTGGACATGGTCCTTATTTTTGTGGGTAAAAGGTTTTTAGGGTTCTCAAGGATCTAGAGGCTCTGATACCATAACAACAAAGTTGAGTTGGGGGAAAATGAAACCCTAGAAGTCTTGGTTGTTTCTCATTCATATTTGGGTTTAAATAGGCAAAAGCTTTGCACTACAAGACAATATGTGCAAGCTAGCATTTGAAGACAAAGATAAAACATAACTCAAACTAAAGTCTAAACAAACATTGACATTAAACTAATTAGATGATGATGATGTTTTACTCTAAACCTGTCGATCCACTTTGACATTCATGGTCGCCGGTTTGAGTTTTGACGATAACTTGAAATATCTCCTGATATCCCGACCCCGAGGAAGGCGGGCGGAGGCAGTTATCCGGTACGATGCAGCCCAGGTACCCGGAATTGGACTCGTCCACGTCAGCGGGAGGGAAGAGGGAGGTGAAATCTTGGTCTCCAGCTGGCGGCGGGCTGCGATCCGGTGCGGGCGGGCTATTATCGTACTTCGGTGCGGGGTAGTTGATGAGGAACGGGTGGTGGTGGTGATGTGGCGGCGGTGGCATGAATGTAATTTGGTGGGGGTCGTAGGGAGATAAGAGGGAATGGAAGTTGTTGTTGTTATTATTATTGGGCTGGGCGTAGACGAAGTTGGTGCGGGCCTGGGTTCCCTTCATGGACAGGGCGGCCCGGTCGTAGGCCAGGGCGGCCTCCTGGGCCGTGTCGAAGGTGCCGAGCCAGTGCCGCTCTTTCGTGGTCGGGTCGCGGATCTCGGCGGCGTAGCGGCCCCAGGGCCGGCGGCGGACGCCCAGGAAGCGGCCCGGCTCGGCCTGCTTGTTGCGGCGGCCGCGGCGCTCCGTGGCGGGAGGGGAGGACGACGACGTGGCGGGGTTTCGTTGGAGGATGGTGAAGGTTCCGCCGCCTGCGGCGGCGGCGGCGGGGGAGGTGGTGGTGTCGAGGTGGAAGGGTTGTTGATCGTGTTTGGAGGCGGCGGTGGACATGGTTTGAGAAGTGATGATGAGAAGGAATGGTAATGGGTAGTGTGTGGTTTTGTGGAACTATGGTGTAGAGAGAGTGGACAAAGGTAAATGAGATGTGAGTAAGGGAGTGAAGTGAGGTTGGAATAGGTGGAAGGAGGGATAGGTTGGGGGTTTTTAAAGGGAGGAATGGGTTGGGGTTTTAGAGGAGATCTTGTGAGTCAAAAAAAGATAGGAGAGAGAAGGAGCTCATGAAGTGATTCTTTGTATTTGTTTATGAATATACTATATAGTATGTTAGGAGTAGAATACTCATATGGTAGCTTCATTCTTGTAGAATGAGATGAAAAGGACAACATGCACTTATATATATATATACTTCTTTTCTTATGGCTAAGATGTGATTTCAAGTGGCAAATTGGTTGGTTAAGTTGAAAGTTAATGGTGTCTTATGACCTCTATCTTAGAGTATAATGATTTATTTTAACGAGGTGAATTATTTATTGAATATTCAACCAATATTATCGTTAGAGGCGAATCTCATCACCATAATTTATATGCATATAACTAGAGAGGCTCTTATAATTAGATTATTGACCCAAATTGCTATAAGTGAATTTTGACACATAACTGGTCAACTTGAACCTTTTGAACAACCATACGTGAATATTGAACTGTTGACGAGACATGAGATTATACAAAAGATCTTATTATTTTTCCCAAATGTAATAACGGTTTTCAAATGTAATTGAGTGGACTTGCTAATTAGCAAAATCCAGGTTGGGTGGGATAATTATAAAAGTTATAATGATTAAGCTGAAGAACACATAGAAGAGAGAACTATGAATATTGGGAGCTCAAGAAAGAAAGCCCTTCGAACATAAAAACATCATCATTCCTTTAGCTAGTTCTAGCTGAAAATCGCGAGGACTCCTGTCCTACATTAATGCATCTTAGACTTGACCCCAAAAAGGGTCGCATCAGAAGTTTGTTGTTCAACACTCTAAGCTAGGGTTTTAACTTTTAACCGACAAAGTAAACTGTATGTAAAATTGAACCATGTGAGATAACTAACATGAGGTAAATTAGAAGCTATAAAAAGCATTGTATGTGGCACGTCATGTTCACGTGCAAAAACCAAGTAGACATATATAGCTAGCTAGCTAGCCAACCCTATCTAGCTAAGCTACTTCATTCACTCGATCGAGGCTATATGTATATAGTTAGGGTTAGGGTTATAGGGATGTGGAGGGGCAATATCAATTACTTACTGCCAAAGAACAAATGGGTGAGGTGGTGATCAGGAATGTCAAAGTAGCTAATCACGATTAGAGAGCCCTCTTAATTATATTAGCCCCCTAGCCTTAGCTAGCTATAGTAGGTTGCCCATGATTAGACCAAACTCCAAGTCACAGTGATTTGGAGTCTGACAATCTCATTCGTCGATCAATAATACCCTTGGAATTCTAGTTAGACGGAAAAAGATCGACCTCTTCAGATAGTTGACTGGTTGATCATGACTTAATCACTGTTAGAACATTATTCCGTCACTAAAAAGAAAAATAATGATCGACTTATTCTATCAATTAGCAATCGATCGGTTGACCATCACATTATCAATGTGGAGTGAGATTCCATAATTAGAAAAGTTTTAGCAATAAACAAGACATGGGTAATGAAAAACTCAATAAATAACCATCTATGTTTTTTGTTTATCAATATAAAATTTGTGTAAATAAGTTATCGTTGTTTTTTAGCTTGGTGAAGAAGAACAAATCCACCATAACTAGCGTTTAATAATAGATTTGTTGATGATAACGATATGTTTCACTACAAATTATGGGTGCTGAACATTTTGTTCTCCAAAGCTGGTCATCTTGCACAACATAGTCGTAGATCGGAACAAGCAACAAGTATGTTAGGTTAGCATCTTCACTTGAAGCGGTCGACCTATATGACAAGATGATTGACCTGATATAACGAAATTTTTGGTGTAGGCATGACGCCTTGAATTCACTCGACATGGAAACTAAGAGGTCGGCCTATGGTTCTTTGGCCGACCTTCATATGTTATAGAACACAAAGTCGATACGTTTTGTTGGTTTAGGCATCTCCTCTTGAACTCACTCGACCTGTGAAAGTGAGCGATCAACCATTGTAAACCTCGTCAATCACATGCCACATAAATCACTACATCGGTCGACTAAATTTTGCAATCGGTCGAACGAATTGTGCTCAGACTCCAAACCCTGATTTATAATTTTTACAAACTTACCATAGCCATTATGTATCCATTTGATTAAACACTCTTTATGTTTTGATTTCCATGTATATTGATGATATTAATTTATAACTCTGGGGTACATATGTTTCTAGACTCTATAGTTAGGAACTAAGATTTGACTTCCTATGGGGATGGTGTGGTGGATTTTACTTCCTAATGACTATACCGATAAGACCACAAGAAGAAGATAACCGAGTTGGTTTTTGGGGGAGTGCAATTCTTCCTAGAGAGACTCGAAAACATTTGAATAACGATGTTCTTCTAAATTGGCATTTTGTGCACAATTTCGTCTTTGCATTTGCTTGCCACAAACGATAAAACCACTTCTTCTTCTAAGTTCGTGGGCACATGTGGGAACCCGCGTTTTATGCAAACCCATATGGAGGAATGATCAATATGTAATTTGGATGGGTCTCCAGGTTTTCAAAGGGAGCAGTTGCATTGCCATTTTATCTCTTAACTAAACCTAAACAAATGCTAGTTGCACCCAAAAACATGAAACATTTTGTACTAATCAATCGGGTTAAGTCGTAACTATGATGATGATTTTGAGGTAGTCGGTTCGAATTTGATAAGATCTGTACTTTATACTTTTCTCATATTGTTTAATGTAGAAGTAGCAATAAATGTTATCTATTAATTGAAGAAAAAATATCTTCTCCTATTACGAGTAGTACCATTAATCTTATCAAGTTTTCAAAATTGAATATTTTTAATTCCAAGTCTATTATTAACAAAATCGAGGAGTAGCAATATTTTCATAAATTGGTGAGTTGGTATATCTATGTCGCTTATAAACTGAATAAAATGTCGGAAAACCGTTAATGTATGAAAATATGTCATATCAAGAATCAATTGCTTAATTTAGGTTAGGAGAATAACATTTTTGTTTTACACTGGACAGTAAGTTTCAGTATGTAGTGCTAGGGAAGACCGACATCAGATCTACATTATTAAGCCCCTAATCCACTTACACAAACACATGACTTCCTTAAGTGCTAATTAGTTTAATTCATAAATTAGTATAGGCTCTTTCTTTCTATCATGTTCTGTGTGTTATAGAAGCTGCAGCTCCACACATAAAGAGAGGACCAGGACAAGAGCATATACATACTTGATTAATAATTACTAGTTAAATATGAATAAAAAAAAATTAACCCATGTCATTAAAGTCAAAAGCTCATTTCCTTGTTTTCCCATGTTTGTCATCTTCTGCTACTTCACAAGTCACATGGTGGTAGCATTGTGGAAGCAAAACCAAAGTCTTTGCTCTGTGAGTACTATGGTCAACAGATTATCTAATGATTTATTCTAGCTACTAATTCCCAAGAGGGACACTTGTACTAGATTAATAACTAGTACTCAAGGTTCACTGGAATAAGATAATTTTTTTGAATATAATCCTTTGATGTAGAGTCGTTGATAACCAATTAATTTCGCTACTCATTTTAATTTTTAGTTAAATCTCTATGGAGGAAATTAACAAGACCCATTAAAATCGAAAGAGTCAACGACGTCCAACAAGTGTGCAAATGATCGCTACTTCTCCCTCTTCTCTCAATCTGACCATCTTACAGACCAATTATGCAAACTCAAATGAGTGACAATTATTCTCAATGTTTTCAAGTTTCAACAAGTACTACATGTTAGACCGGTTCCTGAAAATGTAATCGAAATCGCGACATGTCATATAATTTTGTTATAAATTGAAGTACTCAACCACTTTAAAAGGAAAAAACTTTATGCATATAAAAACTTGTTAATGACCCACACATGTGGCAAAAAGAGTGTTCCAGGAAACCTGCACTTTTGAAGGACTTCTATTCTACATATGGTCAGCTCTCCTTTTCAAGGAATTCAGAAAATATGTTGATCAACAACACACAACAAAAAAAAGCAAATTATAATTCCCTTCTATGGGTCTCAGTCAGTCAGCCTCTCATCATCAGTACTAAGAAAGCTTGGGACAGACATCTCATGATTCTCCAAAAAGTGAGAAGAAAAGGGTTTCAGTTCTTCTGTGGAGAGTCAAAAGGGGCAATTAGGAATGAAAGGTGGATTGTTTGTCTTTGTCATGTCATCAAGTAGTTGATTAATTAAACTAATTAACTAAACTAAAACCCTTCTTTAGTTAATGGGCTCCCAAATCCAAGCAGCAGCACGAGGCAGGCAATAACACTATAGGGTAGGAATATTGAACTTCTCATAAGTGGGGTCATTAGAGTGGTTAATTAAGTAGTTTTGATTAACTAGCCATTTTGGCAGATACTTAACCTAGTTGATGGATGACTAGAAAGGGAAGAGTTTTCCTTTGTTTTTTTTTTGTTACATGAATTGGCATCGGGAAAGCCATAACCTAATCATCACACATGAAATAAAGATGCACTAGACAAACACTGTTATATAACAGTGGTCTATTATCTATCTCAAATTTTAGGTTTTACTATTTACGTGGTGTATCGTATAAGCTCAAAGTAAATATTACCCGCATCGGGAAAGCCATAACCTAATCATCGTAATTCTTACCCATGTATTGTATAGTACGTATCTTAGTGTTAGTCGCCAGAGATTTTAAAAGCATAATGTTTTGCAAAGTATTTGATCAACCACTACTTTAGAGTTGCGAAACTTCTGCTACCTCTTTGCATTATTTTTACAATCGTGTACTCTGCTCTGTATACTGACAACTACAGACAGTACCGTACAAGTTTTACAAGGAGGTGAGCTACAAATTCTGGGC